GTGTGTGTGTGTGTGTGAAGAGTAGCTCTAGATCTAGTAGCTTATTTTTAAATGCTGGTATTTGTACCTCATTCCCCTATTCTGAAGGTTTTCTTCAGGTTATTTCCTGAGGCAGTGGTAAATGATTGAAATACAGACTCTAAATAAAGTTAAATCCAGACCTTTGAAAATCCACAATGTAATGAAGGTTTGCATTTTCTGTTTTGAGACTTTTGCCAAGTTAACTTTAGTCGGGTTGAATTTTCATTACTAAAGCCTCCAGGTCTGTCAGTTCCTTTGCACCCACAAAATATACTGTGGGACAAAATCACTAAAGACACATTTTTATAAGGGATCTGTGTTGTTATAATAATACAATAATACTTAATCATCAGATCGATTTTAAAGTTTTTAAATTGATTGTGCTATAATTTTAAGTAGCCTACTTTGATGCTTAAAGCATATTTTGCTGACATGCAGCTGTCATGCTTTCAGGATCTCAATACAACTTTCACCTTTGTGTGTGTGTGTGTGTGTCTATTGCTTTCTCCTTATGTGATGTTTTATGTTTTCCATTGTTTGTGTTGTTTTAGATATAGATGAGTGCCAGGATCAGCGGGTCTGTACCAGAGGCCACTGTCTGAATACTGAAGGCTCCTTTATCTGCGAGTGTGGGCCAGGCTTCAGAGTGTCAGCGTCTGGAGACCAGTGTGACGGTATGATCTGGATCTTCAGTACTACTACTCATACCCTTTTGTGTTTATAATCTACTTTAGCATCTGTAGTCAGCTTTTTAAGAGACAACTTGGATTTGGCTTCACAGAAAGCTCTCATCTCTGACAAATGGAAATATACAAATATGCATATGGAATTCTCAACTTTGCCATTGTATAACTTTTTTATAACACAGGAAAATTTACTTGATTTCTGATGATTACAAACTTTTATTTTGTGTGGTTTTGTCAAACCTAGCCTAAAACTAAATTAATTTCTATAGTAAGAAATTAAGAAAATATTCAAAATGCGGGCACCATTACATGTATCTTCACCCCCTTCAACCTATCCCTGCCCTCTGATTGGCTGTAATTGATTTATCTATATTTAGCCCCTTGAATCACATTTTCGAAGAGTTCACCCATAGCATTTTTGGACGGCCGATTGAGCGCTGATACGGCTCTGACCTGGGGCTTTTTTGGCAACTTCCAAAATTTGTCAGTGAGTGAAAAATCTAATTAAAAATAGTGTAAGCAAAACTAGGCATTAGACCATTTAACTTTAACTTAGGATATGTATGTGGATGTAACTTCTTTAACGTAAAACAAAATGTAATTTGACCTATGCAGTTTAGGGATAACCCAAAGACCAGATGTTTCCTCTTTTCAAGGCAGAAACAAAAAGAGAAATTAAACAAAACTAATTTCAATGATGAGAGAAAGAATTAAAGACTGTACGCTTGATCCTGTTCTCATTTACCTCGTTGGTATGTGAGATATTTAACAAAGACATTCGACTGAATATGTGATCTGAATACAGATAACAATCAATCACATTCTATTTATATAGCCCATATTCACACACCACAATTTGCTCCTAGGGCTAAACATCCTCTGCCCTTAACCCTGAACAAGAGTCAGGAAAATTACCGAAACAAACTTGTAGTAGGGAGAAAACTCAGACAGGGATCCTGTTCCCAGTATGTACAGACAATGAATATTGTAATGATGCCAATAATAGAAGTATATGTGAGTAGGCATATTGTATATCTAAGCATCCTCTAGTTGTCATCATAATCCACACCACGATCATGATCACAAATCCAGGATCTCAGTTGTGTGCAATGATAAAGCACAATGACTCTGTGGAAGAAGTCAAGTAAGTAATATGTATTGGATCAGACATAACTGTGATAAGTACAGAAGAAGGGAAGGAGGAAAGAGAGGCTCCATTTGTCATATGTCCCCCGACAATCTAGGCCTATTGCAGCATAATCAAGAGCAAGTCATGGAAATAGTGGAGTGTATCTGTGCAATGATTAATATGAAAATTAGGAACCATAACATCTGTGCTAGTTTCACACTAATGTCTTGTGTCGTGCAAAATAAAAGCCAACTGCCTATCATTGATTTTCTGACAGGAAATGCAGGGGGTTGGGGTTGGGGGTGAGGGGTAGATGTAGAGGAGGATAAGACAGCACTGTCTTTGGTGACCTGGAGTAGCTCTCTCTCCTTGTGCTTACATCAGTTGACTCGTGCATTAACTTGTATAATGAATCATATGAACTGACTGATAACTGTATGATGGGCAGCTGAATCCAGCCACCTTGTGGAACCTTGGGGAGCAAACAACATAAAATTCATCACCATGACTGGCTTGAGCAGCCTCTCTGCTGTTATCACGGTGGAAATACAGGGAAGCTGAATGAAGCCTGTAGAACGAAGTCTGTGAGAAGATTGTGAGATAGGGCCTTTTACAACATTTTCCCAGTTAATAATTTATGGATCTTGATGGAAGAAATCAGGCACATTTAAGGACCTGATATCTATGAGTGTGTGAGCAGTCTGATTGAATTTCTGATGGTTCTTGGTGGAGGGATGCGCTCTACTAATTGCAGTTTTGGTTAGTTATAGTTTACCCTTCATAATGTAAATTAAATGGACACGTGTTTTCCTCAGACACATACTCAGCTAAAGCTTCATACACTAAATATAGACACTAGAAAAAGTGCATCTTCTCTAAATATTTCACATTTCAGCAATCACATTGAAAAATCTATCTTATCTTCGGATGTTGAGTGGTACTGCAGTGAGGAGGAGGAGGAGGAGGAGGAATGTTGCTGTTTCCATGTGGTGTCTTTACACATCAATAACCACTAGAGGGCAGAGAGCTAACCATGAGGTATTATTGTATCTTGTCTATAAATATATATAATTTCCTCTGTTTGCAAATGTGTGTATCCGTTATGTCATGGCCACACAAAAATGCCCATTAGAACTGCGCTCTGATGAAATTATTTGTTAACGTTTGGACGTCATCATTGTGCAGACTGTGTTGTAAACAGATGTATTTGGATATGATTTCTGAAATCAGTTTGAAACTGCAGATTTAAAAGAGAAATAAATACCCAAATTCAGTAATCGAATTTCAAATGCACATTTGAATCCAGCAATGGAAAGGGAACTGCCATGTTCCTTCTGCTTTTCCATTAGTCCATAAAGTGTTAATGTGCAGTTTTCTTTCTGTGAATAAGCAACTGAAATATTCCTTGTGATCCAGGCTTTATTGTGGATGATAATGAGCCAAGAGATGAAATGTTGATGTTGAAATAAAGAAAGACAATATGTACAAGTCTGAAAAGAAAAAATGACCAGTGCATATTAAAAAATAGCTGACCAGATTTAAGCAAATATACAAGATGGTGAAATTGTTGTATTTACTTTACGTAATATTTAACCAATTAGGAAGAAATATGTTGTGTATTATCTATTATATGGGTGACAACAAAAACAATTGCTATGGAAGCCTCTGCATTGTATTATCTATTACCTGATACTGAAGATAACAGTCATGTCTTTGAAGTGTCTTTACTAATAATGCAAAGCAGCCTGTTAATGTACTGGTAACCACACACATGGCCACAACTGAAGGTGACTCAGATAAAAGTATCAATATTTTTAGCAGCTCCTCTCTTCCCTTATCTGCACCACAGTGGCTGGACAGTCTCTCTCACACACACACACAAACACACACACACGTCTCTCTATAGTTGTGAGGACACTTATTGACATATATAATTCCCTAGCCCCTTACCCTAACCTTAATCATCACAACTAAATGCCTAACCCCTAAGCCTAAAACCAAGTCTTAACCCTCAAACAGCCCATTGGATTTGTGAGGACCAGTCAAAATCACGATGATGGTATTGAACCAAAATTGACCCGCACCACTACAGATAGACATGACCAGTCAAAAAGTCTTCACTTACCAAATATGTCCTCACTCTGTAGGCTGTATACTTAATATGGTCCTCACAAAGACTTGACTTGACTCAACCCCCCCCCTTCATTTCCTTTTGTTCCCCTGTATTACTTGTTTTTTCTCCATCACCCCAACCGGTCCTGGCAGAGGCCGTCCACACTGAGCCCGGTTCTGCCGGAGGTTTCTTCTACCTGGGAGTTTTTCCTCCCCTCTGTTGCTCATGCTTGCTCGGTGTGGAACAAGTTGGATTTTGTGTTTCTTAAGATCTTGGACTTTTGTGCAGCACCCTGATACAAACGGTTTGTTGTAATATCGTGCTATATAAATATATTTGATTCTTGATTGATTGAAAGATACAAGTACAGGACCCCCCACACACACACAAGCACACCCTTTGTTCTAACCCTAAAACCAAGTTTTAAAAGGTCATTTTAAGTTGTGAAGACTAGAACCCTATATGATCGTGTCTCTAAATGTCTGTTTCAATCTGAAGAACCTCTTCTAATGGGACTGACGTGTGTGTATTTCAGATGTGGATGAGTGTGTAGAGGAAACCAGGCCCTGTGCGGCTGTAGGGGAGTGTGTGAATAACATGGGCTCCTACACCTGTACCTGCCCACGGGGATACCAGCAGATCGATGGCACCAGCTGCAGAGGTGAGAGCTGGAGCTCGGACAGAAGGACACATACTCTCACCACTACACGCGTCTGTGTAGCTCTGCTTGAATATATGAACACACACATACGCGCACACACACAAACCTCTAAGTGTTTCTCTTTCTGTGTCGTCCCAGATGTTGACGAGTGTATGGATGAGCCGGAACACTGTTCCCCCAACGGCGTGTGTCTCAACACAGAGGGATTCTATATGTGTGTGTGTGAGAGTGGATTTACTGCCAACGTCGACACACCCTCCTGTGATGGTAGGATGCAATGTCATACAAAGGAAACAAGTTAATTTCACAAGTTCTTTTTTAAGTGTTTCTTAAATATTTTGTTGATTTGGTTTAAGATACTGAGAGGAACCACACAGCCGCTCCCATCTGCCTGTTTTAAAATATACATCAATTTAAGTCCCCACCCAGTCATGTAAAGCAATTAGTATATGCTTCCTCAGATGTTCTTCTTAGATCGTTGAATGGTTAACCCACTCAAATTAGGAGTGCTGTATCCAACAGTTCCTGTAACTCTCTAACAATCCAACAATCACACACATTTCATACCACAAGATTTCTTCTTCTCTCTAGCTCTGTTTTTTTCTCTTTTCACAAAATTTGAGTTTTCATGTGAACAACCAAGTGCAACATAATGAATGTCTTCCAGAAGAGACGTAATGTGCATCATTACCCCATATTTAAACTAGTGGCACATCACAGATCTTTTTAAACCGAGGGTCATAAAAGGGCCACAGTATACACAGGGGGTAATCATATTTCCAACTTCCATTCACAATTTTAGATTCAGTAAGGTACACGTTTATATAAATAAATATGTCTACGTAATAATTAGTAATTGTAAGGGACGGTATTGACTCGATAACATTGTTGCATAGAGTTCTGTGTCATCTGCATAAATATGATAAGCATGTTGTAATATTCTATAATCTGAGAGCATGTAGCTATAAAAGAAGGTGGATGTTTGTTTAGTCAAATTCATAATAAGCAATTGATAAAAAGTTCCTTATTTTGTAAATATAACTGATTTAGCAGTCACAGAAACTCCCACCCACTTTTTAATTAGTCAAGTTTATATTTGACTTATATCTAACTTTATCCAAAATAATGCTTACATTAATTAAGCACATTTAACTTTAGTAGCCTTGATATAATTTATAATTTAAGTATTGTTCACACCCTCATAAGCAGACACACATAGTGCTGTGTTTACTTTCATCCTGTTCACTTGTTTGCTCTGAAAAGAGCCAGAAAGAAAGTTGAAGAAAAAGTCTTCAGTTTCCTTCACATATGCAGATCCTGTTTTCTAAACCTTGGTTGGCGTGTTTGCTTCTGTGGCAATGCTGTTTTTAATGCCCCCTCCTGCCTAAGAGAAAAAGCAGAGAAAAGAAAAAATGAGAGCAAAAGAAACAGATGGAAGCCTTTGATCTGGCTGTCTAGACAAGGCGGGATATATGTTGCTTTCTGCCTCATGATTTATGAAGTGGGCTCAGACTCAAGTGTATGTGTGTGCTGAGTGTCAACTTTTATCAAACCAGTGCAATAAGGAGTTAGATCAAAGGTACAAACAAAGGAAAGTTTGGTGATTTGATTCGGACATTGAGAAGCATCTTCATTAAATAAAAGACCCAATGAGGGTAAGAGATAGTACAAGATCATCCAGTGTCTAGATAGTGGTGGTGATGGTGGTGGATGTGGTGGTTAAGCCCCTGAAAAAAATTGTAAAATGTATTTTAATAAATTTAAAACCATCTATGTTACACTTCTATGCACATAGTTTGATTGGAGAAATCAACATGTTGCCAAATATTTCTTTTCCTTGGTGGCCTCATTGCAGTCAGTGTAAAACTAAAAGTGTGTTGTGTTTGAGAATATGGTTGCGAGGCAACAGCAACCCAGACACTAATATTAACACTGGTTGTGACCTAGTTGTGAGCTTAAAAAGCTAGTGGTGGGTAATTAAATTCTGCAAAATGCAAAGTCATGATGACTGAGAAAAGATTGGACTGTTGAAATATCAACACTTTCTTCATATGTATTATTAAATTTAAAAAAAAAATAGATGATGGACAAGCATAGCAGTGTAGAGCTGAATATAGGAAATAACTGCTAAAAGTGGGTTTACTGCACAAAAACAAGAAATTCAATTCAATTCAATTGTATTTATATAGAGCCAAATACATAGATGTATAGAGTCCTGTCCAGTGGGTCCCATTTGGGTTTGATATGATGAATAGACTATAGTGTTGCATGAGATGTAGTGAGCAGTAATGTCAAAATAACAAGAAATGTTATGCTGGCTTTGTTGGCTTCACCATCATGCATTTGTTAAGCACTGTGGAGTATTACTGAATATTAACTATTGTTAATGCCATATTTCCCTAAATTAAGCAAAATGGGACAGAAAAGGCCAAATACTTGAAATCCACCTGCCCTGACAGTTCTTTCCGAAATCCATGGATGTTGCTGCATCTGTGTATAATTATGCAAACTTAATGGCTGTTAAGAGTCCAGGGCTAAGACTATATGAGGACCTTGTATCATAGGCCAAACAATAGTTCAATGTGGGACATTGCCTTTTTGTGTTTTTTTTAATTTATTTTCAGCCTGGTCTTGTAGCCTGGTCTTCAGATACTATGGCTTTAAAGCCTGAGACACTCAAGTAATCAGATGGACACAAGCACAGGCTTTGGTTGATAAGTTCTTCACCTGTGTAAGAACTGACTTGTGGATGAATTGACTTTTAAGGTTTTTGAAACCAGCATGATTTTCCCTGTTGTCATATAGAGATGGGCTTTAAGTAATGCTAAGTAGCTTTAAGTAGGCCTATACACTCAATGTTTTTTTTTCAACATCACTGCTTAATAGGAGGTGTGAGAGATGTGTTTGTGTGTCTGTGTGTGTGTGTAACCCAAAGTGTGGCTCAAGGACTCGAGGAAAAAATATAAATTAGCTTTGTTGTATTTGTTTGTTTGTTCTCCAGATATTGATGAGTGTGGTCTCAATGAGACACTGTGCGGCTCTCACGGCTTCTGTGAGAACAGACTGGGCTCCTACCGATGTCTCTGTGACCAGGGCTCCCAGGAGACCCCGGATGGCCAAGGCTGTGTGGGTAAGTGTTGCAGTTCTGTTGTATTACATATTACGTTGGATGTCTTATATTACAATGCCAAGACATTTAACCTATCCACAGCTTGATTTCCGTATTAACCTCTAATAACATGCTTACTGTCAAGTCCTAGCTTACTGTAACTGCTTGCAAATGACAGACAGACAGAGTTATGCCAATGTTATAGAAATGTATAAAATGGTGAACAAGCAGAAGAATCCAACAATAGTTCACACAAAATGACAAACTCCATCTGTAAAATGACACATTTGCATCTGTAATGACATTTTCATTTGTCGAATGTGATTTCTACAGTATAGTTGATGTCTGCCTGGCTTTCCACAAAGATATAGAATAACAAGCCAGTGGAGAAAGAAAGGCAGCTAGGGCCATCATGGGCTGTGAAAGCCCAAATTTGGTGCCTCTTGTACTTTAAATAAAGGCATCGTTGGTTGAAAGGCGAGGGGCTGGTTTGTCTCAGACAGTCTGTAAGTTTGTAAGAGTTTACTAGATTTGAGACAAACTAATATAATCAATCTTATCCCTATATTTTGAGATAATTATGAAACTGAAGTGGGTCAGAGGACGAGTCCGCTGAGTAGGTGGTCCTGCAATGTGGCCCAGGACACAATAGCATTCACACTGATAGAAGAATCATCACTTATTAATGTGGTCTGGGTGATTTGATCTCAAATGGCTCCTCATATTGACTGCATTTGCACTTGAACTATACACATGTCATTGGTAGGGTTGGGTATTGTCTGGGTTTTGTCATATATTAGTGCGAAATCAATACTTTTAAAATGGTTGATATAAGTCTGAGCAGATGGGTGCTGGTGGTTTTCTTGGGTTAACTCAGCCCCTGTAGCTCCCATCTTGTCAATTTTCCTCCAGCAGGAAGGACTGTCTGAAAAGTCTTCCCCCCCGCTGTATCCTGATAGAACACTTCCCCCACACACACTCTCCTAGACACAAAGTACAGTACTACAACCACCAGCATGCTCTCATTCTCATACCCCAATACAGTATGTGCATTACTCACACACACACACAMWCACACACACACACACACAAACTTCCCATCTTTTCTTTGGCAGTGCCACTGAGTCACACCCAAGTGCAACCCAGCCAGCTGACTCAACTTCACTGCCACACCATCACTGCACTGTGGCTAGCACAGATGGACTTACTTACACAAACACACACACACACACACACACACACACACACACACACAATCTTCTGTCTCCCCCCTCCATTTATCCCTTTCCTCCTCCTCCTCATCAGCCAAATTTTTCTGCTTTACTCTTCTGTCTCTCCCTGGCATTTAGCTCTAGTTTAGCTAAGACATGAGTCCATTGTCACACCTCTTTTGCAACAGTCAAAGTGTGTGTGTGTTCCAAGATAGGTGGATATTGCCTTTTGTACAGGTCTCTTTTTACTTGATTCCTTAAGAAATCCAGTATTTTATTACAGTAATTTAAATGTTTCACTCATCCAGCAGCTGCAACACTAACGGTTCTCTCTATAATGGAAATTAAAAATTGTTTAGAAAGGTTGTTCCAACACCATTTCAGAAGTTCACACTGTTGTCTGAACAGATTTTATTTAATAACACAAAGCATCTATTTCACTTTTGCCCATTTTTTTTGTAGTTTTTCCTTATTCTTGTCGAGAGTTATGGACAAAAAATGGTACACCTTATTGAGACAAATTTTAATTTGTGAATCTGGGCTACACAAATTAAAATTTGATTGATTAAAACATCATTTTTGGGGTGTTAATGTGCATATACAAATAATAGGGCTATCATCCTCGAAAAAAAGTGCTGCCCATAGATGTACTGTATGAATGTGTTTGTGAATGGGTAATGGCAAAAAACTGTACTGTAAAGAACTATTTGGTAATCAAGAATAGAAAAGCACGATACAAATAAAGAAGATTTACATTGTCTATGTATGTAGGTGATCCATAGAATATATCAATACATATAATAAGCCCTGCATCTGTTGCTAATTCAGATGTAGGCTACACTAATATTTAACAATATGGTTGAAAATGAATATTCCAAAAATGTGTTGAAGTTGTTTACACAACTGAACCAAGACAACACTGTTTTAGTCTCAATTCTGCTGTCAATTCTTCTACCCTTCATGGTTGATCTCATCTTAGTGTAATTGATATGATACAGCAAGATGGATCTTAAGGCATTTCACTAATATAATGTGGCACAACTGAAATTTAGGACACAAGGTCATGATGCCAAGAATGAATGATTCCATAATCCAGCATCTGCCATTTATATAGACAGAAAATGCAGAGATATAATTGGAGTGTAGTTTTGGGGAGCAGGCGAGTGCCCATGTGATTGAACCAAATTAAACTCAATGGACAACCACACACAATAGCACTGTTATGTGGCATTTCTGAAATTGGAGGCGCCATATTATTCAACATATCTGTCTCGCTGCCTTCAGATGGCTGCTGGGGTTTAACTGAATAAGGAGATTTATTATAGCAAAATGCAGGTATTGGGAACCCCACCCACCCCCCATTCACTTATGGAATGACTCATTAACATGTTTTTCTATTTGCTATCTAGTTTGCATCTGATGAAACTGATACGCATGAGTTTCAGCCATTACAGCTTTATACTTCCTTGCCGTGTAATTTTTCGTTTTACTTGAGATTTACATGTATAATCACCACCTAAGCAATTTTTTTGCTTTGAGGGGTATTTTTCTGTTTACATAGGTTGAATTTGGGTATTCTGGGAGATTTTTTTGCATACTCAGAGGAGACATGGTCCAGCATTTAATGTTGCTTGATCATTTGGGACACTTGTATGAGGCTTAAAAAAAAGCCTAAATCACCTTGCTTTATACATGTCAAGGTCAATATTACCAATTTTTAAAAATCATTATGTAAAAATCAATAAGAAAAATAATACCATAAAATTGATTTAAAACATTCTATTAAAGGTAAAAACAAATTCAATCACCAGCAAGCACCTATCATCCATCATCATCGATCAGCAGATTGTCTTCTCCACATGTTTCATGAAACCAATGGTTGCAGACCACAGGACAGGCTCTTCTGTGCTTTTTGGAACAAACTGATCATGTACTAGTTAGCTAACCAGACAGTCAGTTTAAACAGACAGGGACAGACTGTATTTACCATTAACTCCTGTCTGACAACAGACCATATGCTACATCTCTTTAGTTTATCTTTGTTTTACCTCAGGAAGTCACTAAGTGCATATTTGCCCATTTAAAGAACTTAAATGACTGTCCTATATTTTTATCCTTTACAGTAATCTTGTCAGAATCCTATGTCACTGACCTCGTCATGTAATTCCAAAGGGGAGCTTCTGATTGGCACTTGCCCTGCCCCTTTCTGTGACATCAGCCCCATGAAGTCATGACATTTCAGTCATGCTCACCTGTAGTAAAAGTTCTGTTGACTAGATTTTGTTAGAAAAGAAAATAAACAGACTGGAGGTGAGGTTTCCCACATTACCAAATGTCCCAGATTACCCAAATTCACCCTATGTGTGTAACTATAGCGGTTCTGCCACACAACAGGGGCTGTACATAATTAACCTGAGCCCTAAAGAGTGTGTGTTCTGGCTTGATAATGCACATCATGTCATGAATTGAAGAGGCCTGAACCGGCCAATATACAGCATGGGGGACAAAGCAAAGCAAACACCTGAGAAATGAGTGGAGAAACAAGACTACAATGGTTGGATGAGTATGAAAATTATGTGAATTATATGCTCTGGCCTTTACAGTCAACAGATCTCAACCAAACCAAATATAACTATTCATATTTTGGATCAATGTGTTTGATAATCAAAATTATCTTGAGGAATGATGTTCCATCCGAAGACAGGCAGACCTGCAGGATCTTTGCACAGTGAAGCTGTTTTGGCAGCTTATGGTGCCTATTAAGACACTTTAAGTAGTCTATACCAATAATTATCAAAATATTGTGTTCCTTCTCCACAGATGTGAATGAGTGTGAGGTGCTGAGCGGTGTGTGTGGAGAAGCTCAGTGTGTGAACATGGACGGTTCCTTCCACTGCATGTGTCCCAGCGGCCAGGACTATAACGTCATGAACGCCAAGTGTGAGCCTGTTCCCACAGGTGAGCCTCCCGAGGACATCAGGGTGTACGGCTTGTTTCCTCTCACTACCATTTCTCCATACAAGCTGGTTAACTGTGCTACACACACATTACACAGTGAAAAGGCACAAGACAATACATTTCTTCTTACTGCTACAGAAGACCAGGAAGCCAGACGAAGTAAACGACAATGACACTCCTTTAGCCAATCACATTACGTAGAAGTACGCTGATGAAAGGATTACATGACTCTATAATGAAATCCAGACATGACTGTTGACTGTTTGATGGTTTATATAAACAAAATAATCCTTTATTTATCTCATTAAAGAACATGTGATGAATGAAGCCAGTGTTATGATAGTATGACAAAATGCTGTAAAGTTTAAAAGAATGTATGTTCATCCACAAGAACTCAGTTAACACAGTTCTTCTATCAAGCATTTAACCCTTATATGCAAGTAAGGAAGAAAGGTAGCAGCACAATCTTCATCTTCACATCCTTATGTGTTTACTTAATCATTTACTGTTATATGACTTCAACACAATTCTTCAAACATAATGTAACTAACCCAGGGTTAGGGTAACCAGGGTTAACTGATAACATGTTATCAGGCTGAAATAATCCTGTCTCAACCAGCTAATTTGATTCTTTGAACACAGTTTGCAGATTGATTTGTTAATCCCGAATTTGAGTTATCTTCAAAAACAATGTGCTCTTTAAAAAAAGGAAAATAAGTAGAGAGTTGAAACCACGATCAGAAATTATATAATTGGACGAATGATAATCATGTTACTGCAGTGACATGAGATGTGTTTTGAGGCCTCTCAATAAGCGACTTTAAAGTTGTAATCATCAGTCTGAGTTCCCAGCAAAGTAAGATTTTTATCATACAAATTTGTTGAAATTCGCTTGTTATTGTTAAATAAAATGTCATATGTGCTGTTTGCATTGGTCTCTTCAGTTAATGTCTTGTAGCTCAGATTCCTAACAGATTACAGGTCAGAAAAAAATAGTGCAGTGCAGAAAGTGTGGTCCTTACAACGGATTTATTTTATTTTATTTCTTATGACATGTACAGTACAACAGTGTGTGGAGGGGTACTGGTATTCAGTTGGGCTGCAGAAAAAATCTTGATTTCACAACAGTGACAACCACTGAGCTAAATACGTTGTATGTCCGATCTTATCTTTGCCATTTCCTGTGTGTGTGTGTGTGTATGTGTGTGTGTGTGTGTGTGTTCCTCTCTTCTTGCTTCAGCTTCATCGGTGGAGCGTAAGGAGTGCTACTATCGCCTGAATGATGAGAACCTGTGTGAGAGTGTGCTGACCAGCCACGTCACCCTGCAGGAGTGCTGCTGCACACTGGGAGCTGGCTGGGGCGACAACTGTGAGGTACATCCCTGCCCTGTCAATGGCACAGGTGAGTTAGGAGAGGAGGAGACACAATATGAACACATTGATACACTCAGTATTGGGATATGTGCGCCGATTCATTAACATTGACTTCAGTGTATTACCCATTATAGCAGCTCAGCAGGAACTAAACTCCTCCGTTAGCCTACACAGTGAGGTGTACCTGATAAATTGCACTTACAGTATATACTGCTGAGACATACACCACATGCATGCCAACCTTAATGCTTCCATTTCTTTCCCCTTTCAGACCACTTTAACCAGATGTGTCCATATGGAAGAGGTTTTTTCCCCAGTGCTGACTTGACGTATGAAGTACCCACTGCTGACACTTATAAAAGTAAGACGAGACTTCACATGTACACAGCTGACTCTGTTGTAGTTAGATATATATTCAACATAAACTCCATTGTCTGAATTCGCACTTTCACACATGCAGCACATAACAGGATATTGTCTTGGGTCAGGTAGGTTCACACCTCCTGGAAATTAGGAGAGGGGCAGCACTTGCATAGAGGGTGTGGGAATATAGAAAGGTCATCAACACGCCAACTTTCTTGCTGTGAATTATCTGGTCTGTTCTGTTCACACAGTGGCTCAGTCAGATATTACACTTTGTTCTACAAGCAGAATAAAGTTAATTTAATGTCTGGTTACTGGGTTGAAGAACATGTTTGAAATGAGCTTGAGATCTTTGGACGAAATGATTAAAAAATGCAATTTTACATTATGCATAATACTGTGCTGACTTACAACACTGGTTTCAAATATTGTTTGTGTTCTTCTGTGTGCTATTGGAGAGTAGGGTCCTATTGTATTTATATTTTTCACCCTCTATCCTCACTTTATTATTTTGATAAGCAATAATTCAGATAAAAAGTCTGAGAATTCAGATTCACATGACTGCTCTAGTAGAAGAGTCTAATAGTAACATGTGCTGCCTTCTCTCTGCTTGCAGATGCAGATGAATGTACACTGTTTGGCCAGGAGGTGTGTAAAGGAGGCTTCTGTCTGGATACTGTGGGAAGCTATGAGTGTTACTGCAAGACTGGACAGGACTACGACCCTACCAAGCTGGAGTGCAGAGGTCAGGGTGACACACAACAAAAATCAAGAGAGTTTGTGTATATGTTCATGTGTGTGCATGTGAATAACCAGCAACAAACAAGGACGTCCACGATTGAAAACATACCATACTATACTTTATCATAATTCAATTCTCTACCAATAAAATAACATGGAAGAGGCCCCCCAAACTTAAATAAATAAGAGACAGCCACTTCAGAATATTCTGAATAAAGACTATTTAAGGACTATTTAAAATCGCTGAATAATCTAAATGTACGCAGTCCAAAAATGTAAGCAAATACTTGTGGTGATGGTCCTGAAAATACAAATACTAGTATTTGGAATGCTATAGTAAAGAAAAGTGGTCTGTTTATCTTCCAGGGATGTAGCATAGGGGGTGTTGCCTTGTTGCTACTGTCCTGTTTAGCTTCAAAGGTTTTGTCAGCTTGACATCTTGTTCTAGCTCCCTGTTCTCTCTCCTCCCTCAGACTGCTATGAAGGAGAAGAAAGCTCCCTCAGTCACAGAACAAATTGAGACTCTTTGCTTGGTCACTTCTCTTTAATTAGCTTATAACAGACAACAAACAGTCCTTCCAACCTCGTCTCAGCCCTTATTTCGAACACCTCGTCTCGGCTTCTCTTGGCAGACTCTCAGTCTCTTCTATCTCTTCTCTCCACTTCTGCCTGCACTGCCAGTGTGACACTGTCCTGTGTTGTACTGTTACTCATGCTGGGTCTCTTTATACTCCTGTGCACTGAAAACTGGCACCTGTATAAAGTTGTGAGAGAAGTCAGAGGTTTCACTCTGGATTTCAGTCCTGCAAATTATGAATTAAGACAAAAAAATTCGCATTGGAACACATTAATGCTGATAACACAAGTTAGCTTAATTTAGTCACTTATAGCAAAACAGTTAATTGTGTCTGTACAGTATGCATGTGTTTGTGTGTATGATTATGTTTGTCCATGTGATACAGGTGGAGCTAATGCAGCTGGTATGATGATTTGGTTTTGTTGTCATTTTTCTCTGAATTTTCTCTGTGTGTTTTTTTCCTTTGTGTAGACATCAATGAGTGTCTGGATGAGTCTGTGTGTGTTGGCGGACAGTGTCTGAACACAGATGGCTCATTCATGTGTTTCTGTACACATCCAATGGTGTTGGACCCCATCAGCAAACGCTGTGTATTCATTCCTGACGTGGCCGGTAAGAAACCTGCATATTCGTCTTATCCCAACAGAGCATCAGCAAAAAAGAGTCAAACTAGACACATCAGACAGTTCTGCTCAGAGCCTCTCCTGTGAGCTCCGGTTGACTTAAAAACGTACTCCTTGTCCAATTCTGATGGACCACACCAACAATCTTCTCTACTGTTTTTACTCTGGGACACTGGAGAAGCTCAGCCTTAGACTGAAACAGCCACTCTCCTCCTCCACTCATAAAATGTTTTCTTACTTCAAATGTAGGCACAGCCAATAATCTGCTGGGACTTTTTAGTACCTTTAAAAAATTCATGGGCCAAGCTTTAGGAACGTTTGGTCTAAATGTATCAAAGTTGTTTCTAAAACTAAGTAACAGACATGTACATGTTCCAGGCTGAATCTGACCCAGAGTGTGAGTGAACAAAAGAAGAAAACAAACAAAGATTACAGCACAATGTTTCAATTAAATGAATATTACATCCTTTACCTGCTCATTGCGCAACACAGTGGATTTAATCTTTCAGTCACTCTTTGTAAATTATAGAATCATTTGTAATAAATACTGAAACGAATTTTTCTCGTAAAATGTTATTCTGCTGTCACTAAACAACTGAATGGTAAACCTGCACTGACAGTTATTTTTACGATTGTTTTCTATTTGAATAAATTAAAAGACTATAATACATTTTTACAGTAGACTGTAATGGGAGAACGAGCTGTGCTTGGAGCAGATTACCCTATAAAGAAATCATTATTTTAACATACATTTATCACATTATTTGAAACTTTGGCCATGTTCAATACAGACATTACATAATATATATAACAGACAGTAAGGGAGAGCTAAATTGATCCCCTTTAAGCGTTATGTTTTTGGGTTGTCTATTCAACCCATTCTTGTGAATGTGATCTATGTAATTTGGTCCTAACGTTGGACTTATGGATGAACTGATTAGAGGTAGGTGGTTAAAAGTCAAAGGTCATTCTGATATCACAGAGCCCTGAATCAAGAATTCATACACTTATTATGACAACATTTAACATAATTTTCGAATAGGATGAATAGTTATAACAATTTATATGCAAAAGGTCAAAGTTCAATTCTACACTTCATGTATGACATGAGTCTGGAAAGACAAGGATATGAACTACAACCTGACTGGTTGGTAGAGGCATACACCTTTGTTGCAGTAATTCTAGATTGTATTTTATTCTCCTCATCTCTGCTTTCACTAACCAAAGTAAATTTCACTTTTAATGTCAGTGAGCCAACACCAATTAGATACAAATAAAAGATTTAAAGATGTCCCCAATTAATTTCTGTGTCTCATTAATTCTATTTATTTGCACAAATGGATGGAATCACACATGTGCTCTTTATATAGTAATGCTGTGTGTGTGTTTACAGAGCAACATGAGACAGAGCAGGTCGACTACCAGGGGATCTGCTGGCAGACGGTTACAGAGACCATGACATGCACACAGCCGCTGGGTATCAACAGGAAGACCACATACACAGAGTGCTGCTGTCTGTACGGAGAAGCCTGGGGAATGGATTGTGCCCTGTGTCCCCAGAGGGACACCGGTACAAACTACACAACACCGTGCACACACATACACACTATTAGGGCAGGTCCAAGTACACCATAATGTAATGATTTACTTTATGTATGTCTTCATTAGTGTTGACACAAGCTGGATATGAATTGGTTTATTATGTTTTCAATCATAGACTATATATGAAGATGGAGGACAACATGTCTCCACTTCCTCTTTCTATTCAGTAATAAAATATCTAGGATATAAATGCTGCCATCGACCAACCGAGAGTCAGCCTCAGCTGTCAGTAAGTTACAAATTAATGACAGAAACAACAGAAAAGATCATTTGACATTTATTTTGACTTATTTTAGTCTGTGTCCCATCCATTAACTTGGAAGAGCCAGCCACCAGGCTTTTGCTTTACTTTAGGAGAGTAGTCCATCTTTACAAACAGTCTGTGGTTTCACTTGTTAATGCATCTCATAATGGAAAAAAGCACCAGTGGACAGCTGTGGCTCAGGAAGCAGAGCAGGATGTCCACTAACAAATGGTCGGAGGTTCGTTCCCAGTCTACCTCACTCAGCATGCACAGTGTCCTTGTAGCAGTGCTCTGAGTCATCAACACCAGAAAAGCACTTTATAAATACAGAGTATTTACCAATCTGATCATTTGCAGCAAACATAAGACCAAGTGTTGATCTTCTCATTTACCCAACTTATTATTGCAGTATTTCACTCGCTCAGATGTTTGATAGCAGTATCACAGCATGCATACAGACCTATTCAATGAAATATGTCCACATCATCCATCAGAATCAGGGCAAGTGACATTACATTATACCATTACACATGGTAAATGTACTGAATGTATATGTTTATTTATGTTAAATTTATAAAACTTTTCTAGTTTATTGACCACTCTAAGCGCTTCATACTACAGGTCACATTCCATATAGTGCTTGCTCTATCCCTTACGCACACACACACACATGATGGTGTATCATTGGAGTAATTACGTGTTCAATATCTTGCCCAAGGACACTTTTAACATACAGACTTGATGAGGCAGTGATCGAATCACCGACCTTCATGGAATAAGTGGTTGTCCGCACGCCGGTTAGACTTCGTTTCTACCTGCTTTCTCTTAGCTTGTTTGGATGAATGATAGTGTATACACACAAACACATTACCAGATCAACTGATATGATTTGTGACCACGTCAGTTTAGCCTTCCTGATTTAAATTTATTTTTTAATTTCAGTGTTGTCCCACATGCACACAAAAAGAGACTTAATTTTCAAACGAGCAGTCCTGATCTTCAGTATTCACTGTATGCTCACACACTCTTTGCCATCTAAGTGCCTGTGGAAACTCAAATCTCTTCATTATATTGATGATATAACCAGTAATATTAGTGATCATATCATGACATCATAGTAGTTGCTGGTATTTTGCACTTTTCTTGATTTATGTGTTTTCACTCTCTCTCAGAGGATTATGCCTCCATGTGTAACATACCTCTTGGTGGTGGGCGGCGGCCATATGGTCATGATGCCCTGACTGCCGGCCCGGTCCATGAATACGAAGTGAGGCCAGACTACTCTCCATCACCTGAGCAGCAGGCTTTCCTGCCCTTCTATGAGAACCAGGAGCGTAAGTATTGGTTGTTTAATTTATATTAACAGCAGTGAATTGCTTTGGACAAAACACTAGAAGATCCTCTCAGTATTATATTCTACAGCTGTAATCAGCATAAACTAGCTGTTTCAGACTACAGCCCTCAAAACAATCATAAAGGTCAATCAACACCTTTTTGAAACAGTTAAAATGTTCCTACCATCACCTTCACCAGCTTCCATCATTTGGTTTTATATTATAAATATACAGGTTCTGCTTTTCTTGAATATTTGGTTTTATGTTATAAATATACAGGTTTAGTCCTTCTGAAAGCAAGCAGCACTCTGCTGCCATCTTGTGAAAATCAAACTAACAACACGTTCAGATCAGAGCCATTAATGCAAACAGTTAGACACTGCTGGTCCTCATTCCACACCAGCAACAGCTGAATCCTCAGCTGGAGAGAACACGCCTGCCTGTAATGACAGGTTGGATTGTGGTGCTCAGGTCAAAAAGTCAAGGTCACATGTCCTTTGTTATCGTTGTTATGAACATGATATATCAGGAATGCCCAAAGGGAATTTCATTTCATCTGGCAGAAACATTCACTTGGACTCAAGGATGACCTGGATTTGGTGGATTTGGAACACCTGAAAGGAATTCCATCAATTTTGGCATACATATTCACTTGGAGTCATGGATTAACCGATTCGATTTTGGTGGTCAAAGGACAAGGTCAGGGTGGCCTTAAAAAGCCAAGTTGTTGGCCTCTTGAATGTTGTATCTCAACAGCACCTTGAGGGAATCTCTGCAGCTTTTGATCAGTTGTCACTATGAAACTAAATTATGATGGTAATCAGTATCATAGCGGTATTGTTAAAAATTGCTGTAAATGTAAAAAAAATACCCAACTATAAAAAATGTGTATCGATGATAGTATTTAAATTTTTTATCGTTAAGTGCAGATGTCAAATTCCAAATGTAAGAGTCAGGACAAAATATCAGCGTTTGTGAGATGAGTGCAATTTGCAGACAGTATATTTTAGGATTTCTAAGCTATGGCCAGATATTAATCTTCTGCTGTTACAGCCCCCACCCCACCAGATCATGACCTGCCCCCCCCCCCCCCAACAAAAAAAAAAAAAAAATCAATCTATCAATAATAAAATCAATGATGATGTAATTATTTTGGTCATTTGACATCCTCCATATTAATGTATCAAAACTGATAACAGCCTTTTCTGCATCAGGGTCATCAAACAAACAAAGTAAAACTTCACACACAAACCCATGTTGCATGTTGCGCCAGTGCACCAGTGTGTGATGCTGGACAGTTTTCATAATGAGCTACACACCGTGGTCATTAACCGCGGTTTTAATGATAGTTTAAACTACCTTTAATTAATTAATCAAACAAACAAAAGTGGTATCTATTGATTACTGAATGTCATCTGTTTTTGTTCTAGATCCATTCAAAGCATTTGAGGGTTTGCAAGCAGAAGAGTGTGGGATACTGAACGGTTGTGAGAATGGTCGGTGTGTGCGGGTTCAGGAGGGATACACCTGTGACTGCTTCGATGGATACACCTTGGACCTGTCCCGCATGACCTGCATTGGTAAGAGAGCAGCCACACACAACAAAACTTAAGAAAAAGGAATACACCTTTGAAAGCTCTCTAATGTTTCCCCCTCTGTCCACAGATGTGAACGAGTGTTCAGAACTGAACAATCGGATGTCGCTGTGTAAAAACGCAAAATGCATCAACACAGTGGGCTCCTATCAGTGTGTGTGTCTGCCGGGGTTCACTGCCTCTGATAAACCCAACTTCTGTGTGAAGATTCCAACACACCACACGTCAACACACACACAGTGAGCATGGACAGGTGGCGACAAGAGACACAAAACACACGCACAAGCTTGTATTACTATACTTGTGAGGACGTCCAATACATCCAGTCAGTGCCAAATCCTGATCACCGACCTCTAAGTTCATCTCCCTGGTTCGGTCAGTGTCCAGCAGCGCTCCCTAATCCCAAAACACTTCATAGCTCATCCTCGGCAGTGAGGATTATTTGAGATGTGGGGGTCATGTACCGAAATTAGCAAGAGAACCTTTAACTGTTAAAATCTATTTATAATCTTAATCAAACCTTCAAAACCTTGCCCCTTGAATTGACTTCAAATCTTAATCCATAATTTAAAGAAAATCCAAATCCAGATCTGCCATTTACCAATGTCATTGTCACTATTTTCACTCACTCCCTGTTCTCCATCACTGTTTTTTACTTTACCTCTGTTGTTATATATTTATTATACTTCTTGGTTTAGTAGTTTTCCAATAAAATTAATCCAAATATTATATAAGCACTTCCAATGTTAAGGCCTAATTTTGTAAAAGGCCTGAAAGTATAATTTTTTTAATGGATTTTCAGAGACTGCAATGTAAATAAGGTAACTAGCTTATTTCTTATGTTTACCTTGTTTAAGGAAATATTTGGCATTTAGGGACATGTTTATGCATTTAGAGATAGATGGGAAGATTTCATAAGATGTCATTAGCCTAGCTTTGTGCTTAGGGGAAACACCTAGCATATAGTCTATATGACAACATTTTTGAAATAAAGTCAGTGTATTTTCCCAAATGTTGAACTCTTCCAAAAGGATGAGTTTTGATTGATCGAGGACAGAACCTTTGTTTTTTTTAAAACAGTCAGTTTGGAGAACAAACTGCTGAAATACGTGTAGAACAATATGTCCATACAGGACGTGTAGTGTGAGAGCAGCAGAACAGAATGAGTTCAGGCACAGTGTTTTGTGTAGCTGCCCAGAGTCACATGTATAGTAAAACACCAGCTGTTACAATGACTGTAGGGAAAGCTGGATAGATTTATGCCCTGTTCAGACCCGACACTAACATATGTCTCAGGTGCCCCGATCACTATCGGACAGCTGTAAGAACAAGTGTGATTGCGAGATCCAACCACTCAGACCACATTTAGAGTTGGTCTGGGACGCATGTTGATACAGTCTCTGACCAGTGTAAACACAACTGTGTCCAGCCTACTCAGCTGATTTCCTCTGTGTAGATGGGAGAACATGCTCATTTGGCATCAATGATGTTGACAGCAGGCGACAGGATTCTCATAAATGAAGTAAACATTGACGGGATAGTTCACAGAAAAATTAAAATTCACTCATATTCTACTCACCACTATGCCAATGGAGGGGTGGGTGAAGCGACTTTTGGAGTTTCAGGGGTAAACAGCGGTGCAGCAGGATCTAATACAATTGAAGTCAATGGTGTCCTCTTCTTCAGACGTAATAAAACAACAGAAACAAAATACTGCTTCTGTAGTGTCATCCAAGTGTGCGCAAGCCCCGACATTCATATTCGACTCAAAACTACGTCATTTAATCAGTGTTTTTAGCCTAAATGTCCTGCGATAGCCTCCTCTGAGGTGTGGTCACACTAACACCAAGGGCACGTGCGGGGTGCGCATTCATGTGGCTACATCTGCTAGCATTGCCACTTCCGGTAGTGGACTTTTAATCTTAAAACACAGTGCAAGTGACCTTGTTTCAATTTTTTTCGGTTGCTCTTTTACGTGGTGGTCAATTTGGCTGAAACTCTGTTTACCCCTGAAACTCCTAAAGTGTTTTGTGGACTCAAACCCATCACCCACCCCTCCATTGGCACAGTGATGAGTATATAATGAGTGAATTTTCATTTTAGGTCACTATCCCTTTAAACTCACTCACTGATTTCCATTTGGGGTGAAATACAACAGAAAGTGGAAGATTCAAATCACAGCAGGGTGAAGGGAATTATCACATCACACAGCTTGGGTGATTTGGTTTAGCCTGTAGCATGCCAAGAAATAAGCCCAGTTTGTAATGTTTGGATTTATTCTTTCTTTCTTTCTTTCTTTATGGAAGACTTGGCATGGGATGTGCATTGTTGCCTCCATCCAGTGGGAAAAAAAGTAAGAAAGTGAAAATCCATTTGTCTTTATAAATGGAAAGGGTGTATATTTCGGAGCAGGGAATTAATTTATCATCAGTCACTCAAGGTTTAAAAGAGGAATGCTAATTTGAACTGAAGTACTTAGAGCTGTCCACTGGTGATTTGACCCAGGACCCATGTTAATGTCAGGTCTCAAAAGGGCTTTAACATTTTCCACATCAACAAGCAAACACGTCTGCTGTTCCCTTGTTCACTCATTTAGTTTTTTCTCTACATCAGAGCGTCCAGTTTAGACTATTTAACACTATAAATTGCTACTCCTTACATTGTGGGAAACACCGTGGATGAAATATAAGAACAATGTCTGTTGCTTTCAGTGAAACTTACTGTGTAGTGCAGTTTACAATGTGAATCCCTGTGTACATGTTTCTTTAACTGGTCCAACCAAAGACTTTACAATGGGATAAGGTCATGCACATAGAAATAACTTTTTCAATCCTTCATGGATTATACAGATAAATAATTGTTGTCTAAGGTGTCAGGTCAGTTTTATTGCAATCTATATGGAAAATCCTTTTTGAGCCAGAGGAAATTGTAACTGCAGTACCATGTGTGGCCACTGGGTTAAAATGTGCAGCAAGATTGATAGATTCAGTCAAATCCTTTTCTCATTATATATTCATTGGAATAATGCTGCCTTGAAATGGAACTTGTGAGCTTGTGGTTGCAACATTGGAAATGGTGTAAGGTATGACTGGTGCTGAAGTGGTTAAGTCACGAGAACACCACTGCTAAGCAATGGCCACATCGATCTTTGTTACAGCCCCTGGATGGGTCTAAGGATATCCAGGAAAACTGAGGGAGTCAGAGTAAAAGTGAAAGTAAAGGTTTCAGCTGCAAACAATAAAAAAAAAAGGCTGGGGTCATGTGGTTTTGCAAAACAAAAGACACAAATACAACAAACCAGGACTGGCTACCACCTATTCCTGAAAATAAAACCCAAATGAAGAAAAACCCTTTCTTCTCTACATACATGTTTGAACCAAAACAAATACAGGGGCTGGCACCAACCAATAACCTGGTGTGTCTAGACAAATATAAACAAGGATGGAAGAATGTTGAGGGTACACCAAACTCACCTGTTGTAAAACCTTCCTCCACATACCTCTAAACAAGTAGCAAACTAAGATAGGCAGGCAGTGAGGGAAATAAGAGAGAAGAACTCCACAAGCAGAGTCCTTGTGTTGAGGGCCCTGTACGCTGTTAGGCCAGTTGTGAGCAGCGGGGCCAATCACAGGTAGAGACCAATCATGGTGACATGGAGAGAGGAAAACAAAAAAAAGCACAACTAACACTCTGCGCCTGCGTGGCACGTAACAAAAACCATTACCGGTGAGGTCCAGGATAAAGAACATAATGTATGTAAAGGTTTAATGACAGACAGCAAAGATGAGGCAATGGAGATATGAAACCTTTTCCCACCTTATTATAATTAAAAATGATATATATTTAACGATTCATTATAATTTAGAAGAGAAACTCTATATGACTAAAATGACTGTTTATTAAAAATATTATCATCCAAGGTCTGAATACCACAAAAAGGTAAACAGGATAAACACAGTCCCATTTGAAGGTGGCTAATTCAGCTAAAAAGCAATTGACACCATTTCTCAGTCCAATGCAACTTTTTGTCTGTTAGGCAGTAACAAGGTCATTTGTTCTACTGCTTTATGCAAATAAACAAATAAAATGTTCAACATGTTAGACATATTTTTTAATTCTTAGCATGCTAGCATATGCCAAATAGCAGATCACAGGTGAGACTGATAGAAAAACCAAAAGTAATGGACGAATGATAATTTTGAAATGATAAATAGGAAAAGTCAGAAGATCAACAAAGTTGATGTAGTTCAATTGACCAGAGCATTATTTTGATAGTACTTGATGGTTATACAGCCAATTTCTGAGTTGTTAACCAAATCCAAAGTAAGTTGGACCAAAATGGTGGATTTACTTAAAGCCACACCACCAGTGTGGATAATAAGCTTGGGAACTGCTACTTTACAGATGACTATTATGCCATCTGAGTCACTAACCTTCCACTTACCTACACATGTATTTTTTTTACCTTTTTTCAACATTTGATGGAGTCGCTGACAAGCCATTTAATATTATGTTTAATCATGGTGTATGTGTTTAAAACTGGGATGTAAATGCTGAGATGAAGCTGAAGAATATTGACAAAGATCCTTGAGGAGACTGTTGTTCCTTAAAAGTATAGAAATACAACACACACACACAAACACACACACACACACATACACACACACTTACTTAATCAAAGCCCATATATTCTGCACTGTATAAAATACACACTAAATGAAACAAACAGTAATTTACTTGAGATGAAGAGTCAACTTAATCTACTATTTGGTGTCATCGTATTTTGGTGATAGAAACACAGAACTGTATAAAATGTATGTTTTGTCTGTTGCTTTTCTAAGTTTATTTCTAATGTAAGTGGAGATTTACGTGTTACACAAGGCCGTATTGCTCTTTTAACAAATTGACAAACCCTTTGGACTTGTGCTGGGGGATCCAGTTTTATGTTGTACCCAGTCAAACTGATTGTGGATATTTAATTCTGTGAAGAGGTCAGCTGTTTGCTCCTCCTCTTCCTCCTTCGCCATCCCTCTGTTTGCCATAAAGAAAAGCCTGTTACCACACTACACTACTTTTGTAAAATGCAATCCTGAATCTACTTGTTGTTTCATGTTTCTTACAAAGAGCTTAAAGACTTTTTTGTTACCTGGTATTCTTCCTCCTTGTGTCTATGTGTTGAGATGACTGAAATGTTTTATTTTCCTGACTTCTCTTAAATACATTTCACTGCTAAGTCTTGCCAGGTGGCAAAGCTGCTATGGGACAGCGATGGGACAGAAGAAACTTGTGTACATTTAAACAAAAGAGTGGAGAACACAGCTATGTATTTGTAATTTGTACATGGGTAAATATCTTTTTCTATGAATACGTTATACAATGTACATTAAACCCCTTGGTATTAAACCACAAATTGTGATATATAACCCGTTGGCCTGTTAGTTTTTACCAATTCAAACATGAGTCTGTTATGTTAAAGATGAAGGATTTCATTTTGGGAATTTAAAGCGGTGGACTAGAATTTATCAGCCCAAATCATCCAATCAGATTAGGACTGCAGGGCTCAGATTATTAATATGTCTTACAGCTGACAGGTTCAGATTCCAAAGCTTTTTCAATAATAATAGTTAATTCACTCAGGTTAGTGTAAGATTTCCATTACTCAGTTCAAAAATCCCTTTAGCATAATTATTCAGACCAGAGATACCTCATATAAATCCAAAGGCTGCTATTACAGAGTGGATCAAACTGTTCATTTTTTTGTGCCTGAAGAAAAGTAAAAATGGATTAATCTGACAAAACCAAACGTAGCAGCTAATGCAGCAGATATTTGTCTGGAGTTGGTAGAGAGCAAAGAATGAAAGAAGCTGAATACTGTCGGATAGGCAACTGTTTGAGAGCAAGTTCACCGTATCAGCTTAGAAGGTGGTTAAATATCAATGTGGCAGAGAAAGAAGTTCCTGCAGGTAAAGTTACTGCATGTTCGAGAATAATACTGTAACTGAATGTAAATTGAAACATCAGATCTAAGATCCTCGAGGAAACATTTATTTGGGACATGACCCTGTTGTCCTCAGTGGCAGATATACTCATGTCATTTGTTGGGTTTTACCTCAGAATGTCACTGTGTTATGTGTAGCTGTGTGTGTGACCTTTATAAAACCTTTAGGACGGTGCCAGCGTGGCTTCACTGAGCCCAGTGTTTCTGTTATCATTGTCAGTGGCTTTTAGTTGAGCCAAAAAACAAAAACAAAGACCATCAAGTCAAGGTCACACTGAGAAACATTCCAAGAGAGATATCACACATTATGTTGCCAGGCCCTAGAGATACCCCCAACAAAGCTTTATATCACTTGTATTATTATGAAAAACAATTGAAGTGTGCTAAACCATTTTAATCCAATTTAATATATGTTGAATATAACAAATGTGGTATAGTTCACTATCTTTACTATCTGGTTTGGGGTTTACAATTAACCTCTGAATTATCTAAGGGAGAATGAAAGAAGAATCTCGTCCTCTGCAGAGACACTGACATAGCAGGCAGAGAGCGAGAGAGAGGAGCACTTGTTCTTTATGAGGAAACGGTTGGACTAATGGAAACTATAAAGTGAGGTGGTCCTTACTTTCTGATTCACTTTTAAAGAGCTGGTTAAGGGTCAAGACTTGGTTTTAGTTTTCTGGTTCAATCAGGTTTAGGTAAGGGTTAGGGATGAGTTGCATTCGTTAAGGATAAGTTTAGGAAGTGGCTGAATGAATGTCCTCCCAAAGATAGAAGCATGTGAAATGCATTTATTATTCCTGTATAAGGGAAAAATTCAAACAGGGCCGCAAAACAGCAACTAGAGCGTGACAACAGGTGGAATGTCTAATAAAGTCTAATCAATAAAAACAAAGCTGACATGACATCATTGAGGAGAATATGCAAAGTTACACCTCCGTCAAAATCAGGACTGAAAGGTGGATTTCAAAGCGTCTTGTTCTTTTGTTGGCAGCACCGTTAGTGAAGCTTGGATTTACAGTGATGTCAACAGAACCCAACAAACACCAAATATCTTTAGAAAGTCATCCGTCATCTTTCAGGCTCTGATTTACACAGGAGCACAGATAAGCTACATTTCAAGTTTCTTTGCCCTGTCCTTTCAAATGAGTCGCCTGAATTAGAGGCAAGTGTTGAAAGTATTGAACCTGAACAGACGTTTCACATCAGAGCTTCACTTCATGGAAGTAAGAGAGGAAGAACAGATGAAAGGAACTGTTCAGTAAGTTTTTGTTTGAAGGTGCTGGTGTATTTGCAGACAGATGCACCATTCACAAGGTCACATGGTAGCCTTATCATCGCTGCTGTCTCTACATGCAGACTGAGTCCAGAGAGTTACAGAGATCGACGGTGAAGACTGTCGAGATCGACCGGTTGGCGACCACTGACCTACATAGTTCACATGTCCTGTGGGGCAACATGCATGTCATGGCTATTACATTCATAGGGGACACCCCCCTCTCCCAGTGTTCTAATCCTTTCTTGTAGTGTTTTGACGTTTATGCTAATTATGATGTGTGAACCCCTGAACACAGCAAACTCAAGCTGCTGGAGGTGTGCCTCTAGCTGCCTAGGCCATGGATCTGATGGCAGTGGCACCTGGTCCAGCTCTGCAATGAAGCCGAAGTAATTTGGATTTGAAGTTGTGAAAAGTGTGAAAGTTGCAAATATTGCTTCCCTTTCCTCTCATGAGCTGCGTCGTAACAATGGCAAAGGCATCACCACAGGCATCACCACTGACACCGGCATTCATCATGTCTGCAACCAACTTCATCTGTCCAACTGACTGACTGACAATATCTCCCCTAAAGCCACAAAGCTCTCAATAATATCACATGTTCTCCCTCAGATGATGGGGGTTTCCCAGTAGCCATGGAAGTGCAGATGTGGAAATCTCCACTTCATGCACCCATGTTGGTTTAAACTCCGTCTGTTGAGGAAGATCAAGTGGTACAATTTAAAAGCTCCAGGGCAGCTGCTAAATGGAGCTCATGTTGTCAGCTCCAGTTTACAGGAATCAGGGATATTTACAGTGAACTCACAAAAACCTCTTGTGGTCGTGTGAATTGTGAGTCTTGAAATGAAAGGCAGAATTTGTGTGACACTGTTACAGACCCATCTCATGTTTCATTTCTCCATCTTCGTCCTCTGTTTTATAAAAACATGTTCACATGTTCATTGTTCCTCTGGATTAGATTCTGTGTCTCTGTCTCTATCTGTGACTGATATTTGCAGAGCTGTCCTGAACACCATCCTTAGTTTCCAGTAAACTCAAAATCTATTTATAGGCCGTGTGTGTGTGTGTGTGTGTGTGTAAGGGAGAGAGGGAGATAAGGGGGGAGAGAGTGCAGAGACAGTTAACCTGCAGCCCTTGAAGTCATTGTGTCAGTGGTGGTCCTGATGAGCTGGGACTAAAGTGGCAGTTCTGTTAGTCTGGATCCCAGTGAGGTAAGTGTTTCTTTTAACACAGTTGTGTGTCCAGGATGAGAGGAGTATTAATTCAGGAGTTTTAACCCTGCAGTCACTGACCACACTGTAATGTGTGATTTCTGTGCTTTAATTGAGTCAAGATTACATAAAGTACATTAGTTAACTATAACTAAGCACATGATCATGATTGGGTTCATAATTGTTTCATAATATTATGCAGCAGTCAGATAAAGCTCAGTAATACAAGTTGATACCATGAGTGTATTGGGTTATAATTAGCATGACAAAATAAGCAAATAGGTGAATGAAATTGACTTGTGCAGTAGAAACATTCATTGTGTGGAGAAGCTGCAGTCCAGGCAACAGTCAGGCTCATCTAACAGGCTGTTGATGTTGTGTTTTTAACCAGACCAGGATTTTTCACTAAACTTAACCAAGAGCTATGAGAGTCTGAACAGAATCATGAAACACTTTGATAATGCTGGAGTCACAACAGGTGCAGACTGTTCTGTGAGACCAGCTACTGCTGGAAAACAAACATGTTGTCTGGTACATTTTGTATCAGTGTGTTTGATACTTGTCACATACATCACCTAACAACATATCTTCATTAGAAACCCCAACTGGTCCCATTTAATTACATCTGTAAAGCTTAAAGGTTCAGTGTGTAGAATTTTGTGGTGAAGTTGCATGTTGCAGCTGAACACCCCTCACCTCACCCTCTCCTTCCAAACATAAAAAAAACCTGTGGTAGCCTTTAGTTTTTATGAAAACTCAAAAGGTGTTTAGTTTGTCTGGACGACTGTAAAAAACATGGCGGCCTCCGTAGAGAGGACCCCCTCCTGATGTAAATATGAAGTATTTAAATATAAAGGGCATTCTAGGTACAACTTAGATGAAACACACTAGTGAGCACATTGCTAGGATTCTTTTATATTCAGTTTCGTTTCAGTTTCAGTTTAGATCCCTTTCACCTAAATCTTACACACTGGACCTTCAAGAGCAACAACAAATGTGTTTTTTAAGAAACATAGTTGGGAAACAGGGAATCAATAAATGTCAAAAAGGCCATAGCTGAGGGTGAAATTGAGTAAAAATGGTTACATCGGAGTGTCCTTGCAGAAGCTGCCCCTTGCTGGAAGAGTGGGAGTTCTTTTTGTCCAGGCCAGCAGCAGGATGTGCCGTCAGTGTTTTTGTTTAGGCACACATTTTTAGACAAAACCCAGAGACAAAACAATGTGCACAACGTCATTAGAGTGGAACACGGGAGGATTCAGCCTCTCACACAACAACAATCCATGAACACGCACACACACTCCACCCTGCTGATTGAAGCGGCTACTTATACTAATACCAATACTAAGATTAATACTAGTATGAAAACCACAAAAATGAATTAGCTAAACTCTGCCCTTGATAACATTTTCAACCACGTCATCGTCATTCATCATGACTGTTGCTGAGACAGGAAGACACACAGAAACAAACATGAATGTGCGCACAAGCATATTGTGATACATTTCCTGCTCTGCTCTGTTCCACTTTACCTTGTGTGGTCCCTATATTTAGCTCAGTCCAGGGAAACCAACCAACACAGGCAGGAAAACTAAGTTTGGAAAGAATTGAAGGAAGTCTAGTGGCCGTTTAGACAAACAGCTCACACACTGGGATCTGTTCTGGCTGAACACGCAGCAGCAGTGCTGTATATGGCTGAGGCAGACAAAGGGCTTCAGAGGGACACAGGAGCATTTGAAGAAAGACTTGGGAAATATTCGCTCCAGTGCTGACTGGAGAGCTATGCTAGTCGCAGCCTTGCGGACCCAGCTAGACTTGTATTTGGATGTGGATTTAAACAGACAGCTTGGATCTATGCGCGAACATGTTTAGAAGGTGGATTTGTGTGGTCTGCCAATAGATCTCAGCAAATTGGAGGTCACAGATCAGGTAAAATGCACATGTGGTTGCCTCAATGAATAAATGAAATTTGTTATAGCGTAAAAAAAAAAAAAACTGCTGGAATTACTACCTTAAATCGCTTTGTAAAATTAGAACCTGAAACATATTTTCTGATTTGTGCTAAACTCTAATATGCAGCGTATTAAGTCAGAATAGTGCTGGTTGGGATGTACAGTGTTTCCTCTCTGTCAGACATTTAGTGGGACGGTGGTTTCGGAACAGTAACACTCTGTGCTTGAGAGTCATATGGTACTGTACATGTGTTCCACTACATGTAACAAATAAACCAGTTACAGTGTACTGCTTCTACACACTCTGTACATGATGGTGTGTGTATTGTGTGATGCTCTATTTCTTCAGACTTTGACAACACACTCTTTTTTTCTACTGTTAGCTCCTTACACAATTATCTTCTACCACCTTTTATTGTGGGATTAGTTTGGACAGAGGATTGCATTCTGTTTGCTTTTGATTATTTATATCTACATTGGTATTATTATATATGCCACCTTCACCACAAGACTCAGTCTTTTGTTGGCTCGGAAATCTTTAATCTTTGAAATGTTACCGCTGTGAAGTCTTTCAGAATCCAGTAGCAAAACAGAATTGTTTCACCTGTTGTTCATTTGAATTCAGTAAGTACTGTAATCCTGACGAAAGGAAGACCATTCATTCATGCTCCCCTGGTGATAAACGTTATTGTTGTGATTCAGCTCAAACCACCGTCAGGACAAAACATTTGCAGCTTAGAATCTATATGAGCAGGATGTGTGGCCATCACTGTGGCCGCTACGAGCAGAGAGGAGGCTGTCAGGGACACATGGTGATCAGAGGTCTCAATACCTGGTTCATTCAGAATGTGTTGAAGTGTCTTTGAGCAAGACACTGACCCCTATCTGCTCTTCAAACTACATGCATGAGTGTGACTGAAAGAGACTGAGTGGTTGACAGACTAGAGAAGCACTTTATAAATGGACACTACTTAAATGGTGACCACAAATAGGTAGCGGATAACTGAACCCTTCTGTTTGTTTTTAATTCAAGCACTATCTTTGTGGTTGTAGCATTTAAAACATTCTCTTACACTTAAATATTGCATTTAATTGAAATGTTCAACCAATGGATTCTGTAATAAATTGCAGAGCTAAAAAAAGAAGAACATCCTGTGTGCGACTCTAACCCTTTCTTACACCAACACAAAGCAGTAACTGGTGGTAGAGTGGGGCGATGTGTGTGACACTGCTGTATTTTCTATTTCATGTACATGTGGACAGACTTTTGTGCCAACATAAAAAACCACAGGACCTCATTCAACACAATCCACAGGACTTGCATACATTCACAATGAGCAACAGCACGGCTGACACACTCAAACTCTAGTTAGCATAATGTTTTCATTGGTTGTTACCTGAGAAAATGGTAATTTGACTCTTACTCCTTTAAATTCATAGAACATTATCCATTTATTCAGAATTCTATTTACCAGGCTGCAGTTTGTCCACAGTGCGACTACCTACGGGTTTAATGAATTACCCTCACCGCTGCAGGAACACTGGAGCTTAGCTGTCCATTCAAATCATAGGCACACTTTTAATGAATTGTGAGAGAATACGGATTTATGGGTATATCCATACATTACCAACAATAGTAGGTGTTTTCAGTTTGTGCCATTAAACCATAGTGTGGCATGATGCTAAATGCTAAATGGGTGAAAGTATTAAAAGCATTTGTTTGCGTTTGGTCTGTCAGAGAGAGATACAGGCTGGGTAAACACAAGAGTTTGTGGAAAATCTCTGAATAAGAGCACAGCCAGACTCAAGAATCATTAGACCGAAGCCAAAACGAATAAACCCTAAAACAGAGAGAGAAGACAGCATGATGGATCAATCAATCAAAGAATGATATCAACTAGTGGCTGTAATTAAACAGCACCACAATTATAATAATACTAATGTCATAAGAACAAATGTTGAGTCATGAAAACTAATAGAAATACCTACACCAAGAAGGTTTTCATTTATTGATAGGAACTCATTCATTCTGGCCTGTGTCTCTTTATCTTTAACATCACAAGAGAGTTTTTGGACATTTTCCCTGATTGAACTCAGGTGAACTGTGCTCTGCTGAATGTCACTTCAGTTAGTGTGGTTGTCTACGGCTCAAAGACATTTTAAATTTTCATATGTAAATGGGATTTACTGCTCTTCACAGATTTTTTTTAGAAATGCAGATTAAGTCAGAAATGAAAGCTGCATTAATCAGTGTTGAATAGAATAGATCCCACTTTTGTAAGTTGTGCATGTAACAACTGGTGTTATAGGAGATGGACAGGGCCCAATGCAGACACAGAGCTATGTGGTTCAGTCATTTATTTAAGGGAACCAAGGGTCATATTCCAAGAAGACATACAAAACACAAATGACAGAAAGACAGACAGATAGATAGATAGATAGATAGATAGATAGATAGATAGATAGATAGATAGATAGATAGATAGATAGATAGATACAATAAAACAGGAATAATATTTTCAAAAATAAAACAGGAAACACCAAACAGGATCCATACAGGAAGTTCATAAGGGGGGCTTATCATGACAGCTCATATATCAACCAAACTCCACAGTTCCCCTCAGCTCTATACATATTTGAATCCCTTTTAGGCGGTTTTTACATTATTACTTTTGGGACTCAATCCAAAAAAACTGAATTTTTAGAAAAATAAATTTAAAAAAATAAGGGGCAGGCACAGCAGGTGAAGCTCAAACTGTTCAGGGAGAAGAAGCGGACAGGAACAGCACATGACTGGACAGAGCTGAGGAGTGGCCTTAAATACAAACTGAACTCATGACAAACAAACAGGTGGCACTGAGCGAGCAGGTGAAACCAACCAAGCAGGGACAAACAACACTGGAGGGGAAACACAAAGGCAGGAAGCAAAGTGAACTGAGACACGTGAGGGAGATCACAACTACAAAATAAACAGGAAACACTGAACTAACAGATAATCATGACAACTGCACCACATTCCATAGTAGCAGCAAGAGACAATGTGAACATTCGGAGCAGAAAGTGAAATATGCAGATGTTAGCTATGAGCTAACTAGCAATTGACTATGTGTTTGTGTTTAGCTGAAATGACTTCTCTTTGTTGGTATATGATTCTTGGTGTACTGATTTCTCAGTAATAAATATTTTATTAGTGACAGTGAATATTTGCTTGTTGAAAATGTGATTCTCTCTCAGCTGAGGAGAATAAATGTCAGTAATTCTCGTCTGTTCTGCACCCTCCAAGTGTTCAAAACCAGGCTTATTGCATCTTTAAATACCGGTATCTCTTTTAAATAACAGGCGGAAAAAACGAATTTGTGCCACTGATCACAAAAATATGGATCTATGGATCTACTTTTGACACATTAATAAACACTAAGCAAAGTTATTCAAGTTTTCTGGTTAAGTTATCATTATTAATAGAGAAAATAGTCAAATTCATTTAAATTTAATCAATGGATTTTAATGATTCAACTTTGTTGTTTCTTTGTTCCAACCATGGTTCCTTCTCTTAATGTGTTCTAGCTGGTGAGTGTATGTGTGTGCGTGTGTGTGTGTGTGTGTGTGCATGTGCTTGTGTGTTCCTATACTGATACCTTTTTACCATTTTAAGCCCTACAGAGGGAGGACATTTTGGTTGGTCCTCACTTCTTCATCAAAAGGGTTAAGACATGATTTTAGGGTTAGGGTTAGGATTAGGTTTAGGTTAGGCATTAGGCATTTAGTTTGGATGGTTACGGTTATGGTAAGGGTCTAAGGAATGCATTATGTCAGTGAGTGTGCTCACTAAGATAGAAGTACAAACGTGTGTGTGTGTGTCTGTGTGTTTTGTTTATGTGTGAGTGTGTGTGTGTGCGTCACATGGCAGGACTGGCAGGACCGCTGCTGCTCCAGGCTGCTGTGTTTACCAACAAGAGGAGGAGGTCATAGTGTAGTATCCATCATGGGAGTCTCTCTGCTTCCCAGCCAATCGAAGCCTGCAGCATGCAGCAGCAGTAACAGTTATCTCATTGAAAGGACTGATCTTTAACTTGGATGGTTGCTGACACGCTGCTGTATAGGCGGTAAGATCTGGCTGTTTGTGAATACAGATTGTATAGTTTGGGTGACATTTATATTTGCTGGTTTCTGTTAAAGCATTTTCCATGTTATTTGAAAGAGAGAAACAACATAACAGTTCACTCTGAGATTTTCAGCTATGAATTCATTTTGTGAAGGCTAGTGTTCGGCAGAAGCAGTGTGTGTGTGTGTGTGTGTGTGTGTGTGAGATAAGAAGCACAAGTAAACAACACTATATTACAGTTGTGTCTGAGGATTTTTTGAACTGTTTGTTTGTGAAGAACATTAAACAGACTTTAATGTGAGCCAGGACTTCTAAGAACCATCTACTATCTGAATCTGTGTGCAGGTATATGTATTTGTATTATTGTAATCATACTTCCTGTTTGAATGTGTGTGTGTGTGAGTGTGTGTTAGTGTGTGTGTGTGTGTGTGTGTGTGTGTGTGTGTGTGTGTGTGTGTGTGTGCTTGTCTTTTTATAGTTATAAGGGACAAGTTTGGTTGAATACCATTATTGTGAGGACTTCTTGACTTTGTGAGGACATTGAGGCTGGACAAATTCAAAGGTTTGTTTGAGGGTTAAGAATTAAGTTTAATAACAATAATAATAATGGCTTGAATTTATATAGTGCCTTTAACAGGATCCAAGGAAGCTTTACATACGTTTGTGAGGACAAGACAGAAGAGAAAATAAAAAAATAAAAAATAGAAAACAGGATCGAATTTAGCATCAGGATGGAGCATTAACTGAGGCCAAAGGCCTTAGTGCAGAGGTGGTGCTTGAGGAGTTTTTCGAAGACAACGAGAGATTCAGTGTTGTGTATTTCAGCAGGGAGAGAGTTCCAGAGGGTGGGTGCTGCGACACTGAAGGCTCTGTCT